CATATTCATGCTTCCAATTTTCCTACATGGTGCTGAAAATCAGATTATTTAAATGGCATTTCCTTGAAATGGAAAGTAAAAAATACTGTACATTGAGGTACAAAATGCCTACAATAAGTACACAATAAGTACACAAGGACAGCACAAAACACATGCAAGCAGTAACATGCAAAGGATTCTCTACATTAATGTGGAACCAAAATAGATCAATTTAACTTTCTTAAGGGACAGGCACAGCAAAATACCACACACATACCCATATGTTATCATGTACACATTCATTTCCTGACTACAGGCATGAAAACATATGGATAGGATTTATGGTGGGCGTCACAATATGTCTTGTAGTTGTACACTGGGATATGACATTTTTCAGAGCATTGCATATTAGAACATGTATAACATGCTTTCTAGAAAACTGATTAGCGTACCAAACCTTTGGGGTTAATTACTTCATAAAATAGGGCTGAGATTATCTTAATTTAGTGGACCTATACTCCAACATTTAGCAGTGCATTCAAATTATATTACAGATTATCTTAGTTTCTGGAAAGATAAACCACCTGACATCTTATACTGATACATAGTTAGGCAGGTTGAAAAAAGACACAAGTCTATATAGTTCAACCGATAAAAGAAAACCTCCATACACGCAATCCTATAACCACAGCTGATCCATAGAAAGGCCCCCCCCCCCCCCCCCCGTCCCCCGATAAAGCATGATCCATTTTGCTCAAGCAGGGGAAAAATATTCCTTCCTTATCCCCCAAGAGGCAACTGGGTATTCCCTGAATCAACTACCCTGGTGTTATGGTGTTTATTACCTATATCTAGTTATATTTCTCTGGGATTGTATTGGTGGAATGTCTCTACTTGAGATCCTGGGCTTGGCTTGTTATGGCCACTGCGAGGGGTTCCATTCTGGATTTAATTTATGGAGATGACAACAGAGGTAGGGACATCCAAACTCCAAGGTGGCCAGGAACTGTGGTAGGAATTTCTCGCCACTAGAATGCCCAAAAGATATAAGATGCCAGCAGGTTGCTTAAAGTGGTAATAAACCCGAAAGCAAACATTTATTATATTGCAGCATACCATTTCTTAGATGTAATGGCAGCATTCATTTTCCTTTTTTAGGCTTTCTTTCCTCTATTTTCACGTGGTGATCCAGCCAGTAAGTCTGGTGTTTTTCAAAAAAATACACCCTCTTGCAGTTACAGGAATGAGAAAAACCATTTAGCACTGACAGAGATTCTTACAATGATTGGGTTTTATGCATTTATGGAAAGCCTTTATCCCGAAAGGAAAAAAAAAAACTGTTTGCTGTAACTGCTTATAAAGGTATTAGCTGCAATTAAGCTTCAATTTGTTAGTTCATTTAAATCTGCAAGTATATCTAACATTTCCCTCCCCCCAGACGGTCAATTCTGATGCCCAAATTTGCCCCCTGTGCTCCTTTATCCAGAATGGAGGCATTCTAATACAGGAGGTGTGTTACTGGCCAGAGGGAAAAAAGTCTAAGAAAAGAAAAAACTAATGCAGCCACCAAATCTAAGGTTTGGTAAGCTGCAATATATTACATTTCTGGCTTTGGGTTTAATACTGCTTTAAAACACCAGTCTACAATAACATAATCTTCAGTAGTGGGTGGACTGATGCTTTAACTTAAATGATAACTCTCTCTTGCATTAAAAATTCAGCAGTGGCTTTTCCTTGTCCTCCTCATTAAAAAGGCAAAGAGCATTACAGATGCAGATGTTCCCCCATTGCACTGCCTGTTAATGTAGATTGAAGGTAAATTTGGAGTACAGGACAACTTTAGAGGGTCATTTACAAAAATGGCAGCTGGTCTAGCATACTAGATGTTGGTGATTTCACCATACTTCAAGGTTTACTAATTTTTATGGGAATGTAATAATATTTTAAGTCCAAAAGGAGATGTCTTTGCTTGGTCAAATTCAACCCAGGCATCTCTATATTTTGCTTTTACAGTGTTGGTCATTTTGGTATCAATATGAAGAGTGTTATTTACTGTAAAAGATGTATCTTGGTTGATTATATACAGATACTGCAGCATTACCTGTGCCGGTCCCTCTGTATTTTGAAAGAGTGGAGCCACCTTGATTTTGAACCAGATCTGAAAGCTTGCACACATCAATTTCACACCACCTTCCTCCCTCACCATCACCGCTATTTAACACAGAAAATAAGTAATCATCTTAGTGTCCTTGTTTAGTATTTCACCTTGTTTGGAACCAGAGAAGTCTGCAACACATTCTGCTATTAGAACATTTCTGAGGCAGGTATCTCAGGTAGAAGCTTGCTGGGTCTGCAAGATGGAACAATCCTCTAAGATGCTAGTTACCTTGCTACAAAACACTGGGTGAGGATTCTCCTTGTTGCATTCTATTATTTAAGCCAGCCATAGATAGTTTGAATCTCGGTTTTCCAGATTTTATATGTGATTATCGCTAGTGGCTGTTATAGCCGCTAGCAATAATCACTATGTTCTTCTGGCGGGGACGGCCTCCCCCACCCCCCTCTGCCAGGAGAACACAATGGCTTAGCGGGAGGAATTCTCTTGCTAACACTGACCCGTGGTTGCAGGAAATAAATGTGCACTGTCTATGGCTTGCCTTATTCATCAAATAAAACTCTGATTTAGGAATAGCCACATGGGCCCTCTTTACTCCTGTGACATGTGAGAATCAAAGTGATATATTAACCCTCAGTTTTTTAAGCATTTTCAGCAACTTCCTTATTCACTTGCTGAGTGGGCAGCTTCTTTATCTTTTAATCATTGCTTATTTTCTTGTTTAAGCGGTTGCCAAGACTGTTTCCCCAAGATTCCTGTTTCAGGGTGGCTCCTCTCTCTTGCAGCATCCTATGAAGCCACCCTTTCATCCACTGACTAGAGCTGTGTCTCCCCACACTGTGTGCATCAACAGAAAAGCACAGCCGCATAGCCTAGGATGGCACAAGGCACTCGCCTTCTCCTCCTTCTCACCCCCCCTTTTCTATAAATTTAGGGACCAGATTACGACTGCACTGTTCACTGTTCACTCTTTCCTGTGAAGACCAGAAGTTTGGGGAAGCAGCACAGAGGGCAAATAGTTTACTTGGGAATTTTTTTTTTTGTTGTGCTCAGCGTGTTAAACTAAAAAACGTTAAGGTTTTAATGCTACTTTAATGTTCACTTAAAAATTTGATAAACATTTGTGCAACTGTAACTTTTGTTTAGCATACAGTGTCTCTATGAATGCTGACACACACACACACATACACATATATTTATATATTTGACGCCCCATTTACACTAGGGCGCTTTTTAGCAGAGCATTTTGTGATAAAAAAAATCTGCCTGCGATTCAAAATGCCCTAGTGTGAATGGGGGCTTAACAACAGCATGTTGAAAAGATCATTTACATTTATCGTTTAAATGATCTCGATCAGCCACAGAATCTCAGTAGTGGTAGGGACTGGGGATCCAACATGGGCCTCCAGGGCTCCATTGAGGGCATATGGTAAACTGTGGCACTAGCAGCCAATGAAATTCTCCCTCGTTCAATAAACCTCTTGGAAGAAAGGGGTTAATCTGAGATAGGAAACTCGGAGAACATTAGCGAATGAATCCCGCTGACTGGGATTATGGTATTCTCTCCTGGCCTTTTGTTATGATTGCCTGTCTGCTGCCTTCTTATAATGTCCATGCACAACCTCCAATACATATTTATAGATGGCTTTCTTTTTATGTTAGGGCCTTTATTATCCTGGTTTATTTTAGGTGGAGCCAATTTCCATAGCCTAGCAAGGACCACAGTAAATTAAACTAATAATTGATCCTCAGTATGTTTTACTCTTTTTTATGAAGCCTGTGTGTGCTTTCAAAGCAGCAGAAGGATTAATAGCCAATGTCTCCAGCTCTGTTGATGCACATCCATGCAGGCTAGCCTAGGTAGGGATTACATATCACTAACAGCCTGATTTCCAGAGACTCAACTAACATTTGCTCTGATTAGAGAGGTAAGATGGCTGAAAAGACAATGACTTCATGATATATGTGGCAATGGCTGTGTCAGGACACTCACTGCTACAGGACTTGCAGAATGATTTTAGCTGGTTAGGGCTTCTGTGGGCCATTCATGACACTGCAAACCCATGAAACTTGGGTCACTCTTCACAAATGGAACAAGAATGGTCACATCAGTGGTTTTACCCAAGGTAACTGCAAATAAAGGCCTGCTTCCTTCAACCCCAATTCCAGCCTACACTCCCCCTTAATGAGGAAACTGAAAACAATTCCTTGGAGTGTGGAAGAGTTAGAACCTCCGTCCAACTATTATCACTGTATGCCCATTTAGAATATTTTTCATTATTTTATGTCTGATGTTTGTCAGGCAGGCAGGAAATGGGGACAATTCCTGTCGAGACGACAGGTGTCAGAATAGGAAATGAGAGGACATGGTCTCAACAGGAAATAGGGGAGAGACTGAAATGTGACAAAGCTGTAACCCTTCCCCACCAAAATCTTAAAACATTTTTGTCTCAAATTTGGTTTAAATCCAATCAGTCCCTTTCAATTTATCAGTGCAGTTTCACTGAGAGGGATAGTCAGCAATCCAGTTATAATAACAGACATTTATCTGTCCAACTGAATCTTTCCAGTCAACCCTGTAGGACAATTATAAAAGATTACATCTGTCAAATTTCCACTGTCATTCAGATCTGGTAATTAATCAGGTTAGCAATATGTTGTTTGCAATACTTAAAGAAAAAAACTGATTAAGCCAGATGGACAAGGAGTTCTTACAAGAAAGTGGCTGCACTTAAACAAAAGAGGTGGTTTCATTCACTATTTAACAAATTTCTATTCACTAAAATCATTAAAACAGCATTGTGTTGTAGACCTCTCTGGCCAAGGCAAGCTTTACAATAATCTCCTGACCTCAAACAGAAACCTGTATAAATGTAAGTGTTGCTGAACTGCAGAGTGGTTTTACCTTTTCGCTACACTTTTGGATGGTGGAGGTCAATTCACTTACTACCATATCCACACACTTCAGACTCGGCTCCTTCAGCTTCTGCACCTGCTTTTTCACAATGGCTTCAAAAGCGAGGTCAGGCGTGAAGAGTCCAGTCCTGTGCAAGTCAAACGTGGACCCCGAAGGGAACAGGACAAACATGAAGACAAAAGGTAGATGTGGGGGCAGAATGGTAGAAAAGGAGAAGGAAAATTTTGATAAGGAAAGAAAAAGAATTTAAACAAGAGACAGGTATGATCAGAGGACAGAAAGATAGGCAGGATAGACAAAAAGATAGGCAGGATAGACAGAAGAAAAGTCCAGGACAGAGGTGGTAAACAAGTCAGGTTACAGAACGACACAAGAGGGAAGAGGTCAAGAGAAACATAGAGAAATACATGAGGCAAAAATGAAAGGCTGGACTCTGTTTGGGCATGGTTTCAGGAAAGGCAGATGGGGAACATCAATATGATTAAGAAGATTGTAGGAAAAATATAACTCTCAACTGGATTAACCCTTCTCCAAGAGTCATAGGGCCAAACACTGGGGGGATAAGGCAGATATGTCCCTGATTAAGGACTTCGGGACTGATGCAAAGCACTTACTTAGCAACTACTTCCTTTAAAAATGGTTACTTTATAAAACTGAACTAACATTCATTTATTATCAGGGCTCTCTTGTGATTTTTCTTTCAGCGTTAAATGTTCTCTGGCAGCTGATCATTAATACAAAAGTCATAATAATTTATACATTTTAGCCATGCAACTTGTTTGCTTATGTACAGGTATGCACCATTTGAGAAGGAAAGAGAAAAAGAAGAGCCTAGAGATAAGAAGTAGAATGGTAGAGAAAACCTTTTGTAGAATAATGACAAGCAATGATGCGGGGGATGGAAGAGGTCATTTTCTTGGGAGACATCTAAGGAGGATGTAGGGGCCACATAATGCATGCCTACGTTTAGCCTCTACCTAGTGTTGAATTTTAATAAGGACTTATTGAGTAAGTCTGCTGTTCACAAAGTCATCTCACCTACCTGCAATTACGGTAAGTTATTATCAGTTAATAGTTATTATTAGTTATAAGTTTAGGTGTACTATAATGTAAAATCACTGACTGTAGAAGGTACTTCTTAATACTCACAAATTCTCACACACTCACGCAATCTTGGTGGCTTTGTGATCCTGTTTTGTCCTATTGAGTTCATGCACTACTCAAATAAGACTTCACTGAAAACAGCATGCTCAGATAGAAGTGGCTGAGCCAATCAGAGAGCTTTAAGATCCACTAGGTTCCTTGCTTTCTGATTGGCTGTGTTCCCAGTTCATGCTGAGTCTGGGACATCACATAGGTTTGTAGCTAGTGCGCAATCCAGGTCTTTATCCAGAAGGGTTACCTTCTTGGTGCATTGTCTAACGGTACTGATAAGCTCGGAAATGACCATGTCCACAGATTTCAAGCACGGCTCTTTGATCTTCTTCACTTGCTTCTTGACGATGGTTTCAAAGGCCATGTCAGGTGTGAAGAGCCCAGTTCTAAACACCCGACAGAGGGGAGCAGGTGATAAGGAGAATATAAAGAGTTACCCACCAGTGATGGCAATGTCATGAGCTAGAAGGGTTAAAGGTTTGGCTAATAAGGCAATGCCACTGGTAGTCACAAGGCAGTTTGACTACATTAAGGATTCTGATCTGGTGAACACCCTTTTCAACTAGTAACTAGCTAATAATCTGAACTTTAAAGATAATCTATTGGCTAATTAAACAGACTCTCAACTGAGGAAGACCAAATTTAGGGTCTGTGTCAATGGGCAAATGCAGCATACCTTCAGGTACATTACACTTGCATCTGACATAAGCCTGAGACCTTTTTGAGATCATTCACAGTTCACTGACAGGTTTATTTGACCTGCAGATGATCTCCTTCAAAACTGCATCGACACTGCTTTTGTATTCCCAGATATCACAGCTTAAAAAACAATCAACAATGGTAGTCCCCCTACCTCTAGCCAGACTAGTTTAAAATGGAACCTTTAAATTGGGGTATCCTATTTCCACAGCCCTCACTCTGTCATAGACCACTCACATTTATTGGCCATTAATTATGTCTTTCAGTTGCTTATCAAGGGATGCAAGAGAGGATAGATCCCTTGTGTTACTATGTCTCTAAATCAGAAATCAACTTTTCAAGTAAAAGCGATTTCTCCAAAACAGATATTTCTGTTGAGGTAGGACACAGGTGTGCTGAATTAAAACCCAATTGTAGCTTTTTATTTTAATTGAGAAGTTAACATTAGCATTGTTTATTGGAGCACAGTAGTAACTGTGCAACCAGTGAGTCAGGCCCCTGGTGGTAGGTTACTGCTCTCATACAGATCTCCGCAGATCTGATTTTCAGCGTGTGGCCAGGGAAGGGGAGATAGCAATAGACCTTAAGCACCAATAAAGGGTAAAAATGAATTTGAAAAAAAAGAAAGAAAGCTACAATTAGGCTTTATTCACACTCTGGCTGACTTCAGTGGCAACATTTCTCTTCTGTCGTTGTCAACTCTGTCTTTCCACTTTTTCTATCTCATTCTGGGAAGGGAAAATGAGCAGAACTAGGAACTTGGGTGCACAGTTCTTTCAACTGGAGTCAACAGAAATAGGAATCTAGTGGGTAATTGGAACAGCTGGGCTGGCCTACTTAGCCTAACTGCCTATGACTGACTTCAAAGACCGCATAAACTTTGTTACAAAGGTCTACAAATGTACCTTTAGAATAACAAGTGAAATGCAAAGTAAGGTACCTATTGTAAAATGTGTGGGGCTTGCTTTGGATGGATGTCAAACAGCTGCCTTATTCTCCCAGTGGCTGTGCCTATGGTTCTAAGAAGGGTGAGGTATAACAAGCAAAACGTTATCTTAAAAAAAGCATCTATGGGATTACTGATTATAGTGTGGAGGCCTACAGGGAGAAGTACTACACACAAGCAAAATGCATCAACACTAATGCATAGACCACTTTTGCACATGCTATACGTGCCTGATGCCATGGATGTTCTTGATAGCATAGCTTATCTCTCTTCGCAGTTCCTTTTCATCAAACTCCATCTGTAAGTACAAAAAGCTTGGTATTGTCAACTGTAAAACATGCAACACCACCTGAGAAAACTATTTAGAAAAAAATAGTAGGACACGAGACTTGTATTCTTGTACCATGGGTTATATACAAATACCTTCTGGTGATTTAAACAAAGGAAAAAAACCTGCTAGGGTTGCTCCCAGAGCACACCACGCACTCCGCCAACTCCAGTTTTTTTAGTAAGCAGTAAGGAGTGGATCAAGACACAGAGGGGAGGAGCCCATGTTCGTTACTGTACTCTAAGATAAGGAATTAATGGACAAGTCAAAACTCCTATTATCTTAAATATGCAGTACAGGACTTGTATTCTTAGACCCTAAAACATACCCAAGCAATAAACTGAGAGTGGACAACAACACAGTAGAACAAAACTGCCAAAAGGCCCACAAGAAAAGAAAAATTAAGAACTCAAACAAAAAGCACTCATATGACAGCTTGAATCACTTTGGTGTCTGAAGCTTACATCAGTCGAGGCCTGACCTGGTAGAACTACAAGAAATGTGCAAACAGTGGACCAGGTGGCAGCCTTACAAATCTGGGAAGCAGATTCTTGATATTGAAAAGCCCACAAGACACCAACAGACCTGGTGGAATGGTCTCTGATAGAAAAAGGAGGAAATCTGTTCATAAGGGTGTATGCCTAGGAAAGAGTAGCCTGATCCACCTAGCAACAGTGGAATGGGAAGAAGGATGCCCTCTAAAAGAACCCACAGGTAGAACAAAGGGAGATTCAGTCTTGTAAATAAAAGTTGTGGCTTTCAGGTAGACCCTGATAAACCTGACCACATCCAGGCAATGTATGGCAATTTCCTTTTCATGTTTTGGGATGTGATAAAGGGAAGGAAGAACAATGTCCTCAATGATGTGAAAAGAAGAAGTCTCAAAACCAACTAGTCCCTGTTCAAAACAAAAAAGGGTGCTTTCATGAAAGAGCTGCTAAATCAGAAGCATGCCTAACAGACGTCATTGGCAAGGGTTCCAGGAAGATAACCTTACAAGTGAGGTCTTCCTTTGGAATATCACTAATTGGCTTAAAGGGAGGTCCAGGTAGACAGTACCAAGGTAATACTCTAAGATGACTCAGGAGGTTGAATTGGTTGGTTTATGTGAGCACATGTATGAAGAAAAGTCTTGATGTGGAGTTGTGCGGCAAGATGATTCTGGAATAAAATGTATAAAGCAGATATGTGTCCTTTTAGGGTACTCAGGGCAAGACGTTAGTCAATACCAGACTGAAGTAAGGCCAAAACAGTGATAGAGTATTCCAGGGTCTCAGATTCCTGTCCTAATACACAGGCAAAGTAAGATTTCCGTGTGTGATGTTAAATGTTACAGGAGTTGGATTTTTCTCGTTCTGAGTAAGGTGAGTTAAAATTATCCCTATTCTTTAGGTGATTCAACAGCCATGCCATTAAAGCCAGTGACCAAGAAGCAGGATAGAATAAGCGGCCTTGGGCCAGTAGGTCGTCTGTTTAGAGGAGGCAGAGGCTCTTCCACCAGACTTCTGAGTATGTCTGTGAACCACAATCTTCTGGGTCAATTTGGTGTGATGAGAATCACTCTTGTTTGGCAGTCAAGCAAAGATATTCATCGGAGGGAAGGCTTAAACCAGCTTGAATTGAGTCCAAGGAATCACCAGAGCATCCACTGTGAAGCATAGAGGATCCCTGGTCTTGGCTACAAATTTGTTCAGCTTGTTGTAGATCTGGAGGCCAAGATGTCCTCATCTGTTTTTGCCACATTTGACAGATTTTGAAAGCTCTCTGGGTACAATGCCCACTCTCCCAAGATCTAGGCATTGGTGCCAGCCAACTGAACACTTCAGGAATGTAGATAGCTGAGAGAGCTGGAATGTGAGTTTCCATATATGCATGGGGGAAAGAGGTCACCCGAGAAGGTAGTTTCATATGGGACCATGCAGCTTAATCAAAAGGACTTTATTGAAAAACAATTATGCTTAGCACAAATAGTACACAGAAGCTGAGCAAACCAGCACCATAACTTCACCAAATTAAATAGAATGTTGTCGGGTCACCTAAGCAGCTGCTCATATAACCACAGATATACACATATGGGAGGCGATAATGATTAAGGTAAGGTGTGAGGAATCACATGGGATGAAATTCCTGTACATGGAACACCCAGTTCAAGGGCATTTCCTCTTCAGCATAAGGCAGCATGACCTCTTCAAGTATTCTGATGTATTCAAACTGATCCATGATCCCTGGTATGCGATAAATAGACCCAACACATCGTAATATGAGAAACATTTCCATATCATGATGCTTGTGCAACCATGCTTCACTGTCTTCACAGTGTACTGTGGCTTGAATTCAGTGTTTGGGGGTCGTCTGACAAACTGTCTCCGGCCACTAGACCCAAAAAGAAAAATCTTACTCTCATCAGTCCACAAAATGTTGCGCCATTTCTCTTTAGGCCAGTCAATGTGTTCTTTGGCAAATTGTAACCTCTTCAGCACATGTCTTTTTTTCAACAGTGGGACTTTGCGGGGGCTTCTTGCAGATAGCTTGGCTTCACATAGGTGTCTTCTAATTGTAACAGTACTCACAGGTAACTTTAGACCTTCTTTGATCTTCCTGGAGCTGATTGTTGGCTGAGTCCTTGCCATTTTGGCTATTCTTCTATCCATTCGAATGGTAGTTTTTCCGCTTTCTTCCACGTCTTTCAGGTTTTGGTTGCCATTTTAAAGCATTTGCGATCATTTTAGCTGAGCAGCCTATAATTTTCTGCACTTCTTTATATGTTTTCCCCTCTCCAATCAACGTTTTAATCAAGGTACGCTGTTCTTCTGAACAATGTCTGGAACGACTCATTTTCCTCAGAATTTCAGAGAGAAATGCACTGTAACCAGCATGTACAACATTTACTGCCTTTCTTCCTTAAATAAGGGCAATAATTGCCACCTGTTTTTCAAATAATGAATGACCTCACTAATAGAACTCCACACTGCTAATATTTGGAACATGCCCCTTTCAATTAGTGATTCAATTACACAGAATCAGCAGCATGCATGTCATGACTGTTGGGTCTGTTAGATTTCTATTACTCTACTACACCTGCTAGTAAATTATTTGCCATGTAGAAATATCACTTCTACCAAAAACAGTGATTGATCAGGTTAGTGATGTCTGACTGCTATTATTTTGAACACAATTGTATGTATATAGATAGATATATAGATAGATATGTATATAGATCTATCTTAAAAGTTATTTTATTTCATGGGAAATCTTTACCCAGATTACTGCCAAATAGCAAGTCATATATTCAGCCATGTAACTACTTATTTAGGCACCACCTGTGAATATAATCTATGCATCTAAGTCAGTTGGTCCTTAATCTAACTGCAACCTTCATCATATGGGACATCCTTGTATGATAATTATCTGACTTCTGATATCAGATATACAGGAATTTCATCCCATGTGATTCCTCACCCTAATCATTATCGCCTCCCATGTGTGTATGTGTGTGGATGTATGAGCAGCTGCTTAGGTGACCAAACAACATTGTCATTTTAATTTGGTGAAGTTATGGTGCTGGTTTGCTCAGCTTTTGTGTACTAATGTGCTAAGCATAACTGTTTTTCAATAAAGTCCTTTAGATTAAGCTGCATGGTCCCATATGAAACTACCTTCTGGGGGGACCTCTTTCCCCCATGCATATGTGTACTGATTATGAGTTTCAGTGACCACACCCACTAACTTTTTGTAATTTTTTTCTGGGTGAGTCAGCAATCATATGGTAGCTGATACAAATATAGGGTAATTGCTGTATGTAAATCCCTTTCATACTGGCTATAGAGGCCCTTGGTATACCTCTTTTAGCTTTTGTATGTGTCTGGAATGTGAGTTTCCACCCAGGAGAGTATGAGACTTGTTTCTTTTAGGGCAGCCTGGCTTCTTGTGCCCCCCTGATGGTTTATGTAGGTCACTACTGTGGCATTGTCCAAATAGGTGACTTTGCACAATGGAGGTCCGGTGTTGCAGAGGCAATCTGATGGCTCTCAATTCCAGGATGTAGATGGGATGTTTCAACTCCTGTGGGAGATCAGATCCCCTGGGCAGTCTGAGTTTTAAACCATGTCCCAGCCTGTAAAACTGGCATCTGTTGTCACTACCTTCCAACACACATGTGAAGGAATTACATTCACATTTAAGGATTGGTGATCCACCATGTCAGGGAGAGCTTTGTTTGATTGGAAGGAAGCACTGGGCAATGCATTGATTAGATTTTGTTGTTCCACATCATGGGTTTGTTGATTTGATGAGTTCTGGAGTGAAATTGGGCAAACGGAACTAACTCGAAGGAGGCTACCATTGAGAAGTCTCATGCAGAAGAGAGCTGAGGGGTGCCATTCTGACCTAAGGGTCTGTGTGTGGGACCTTAAGGAAACTTCGGAAGAAAAATTCTGGCTTGGGCTGTGTCCAAGATAAGATCAAGGTACTCCAAATGGTGTGAGGGCTGGAAAGCAAACTTTGGGAAGTTGATTATCCAGCCAAACTTTTGAAGAAACTGAATCATCCTTTGGATGTTGGCAGACAAGGGTGTAGCTGAGGAGTCCTTTAGTAGGAGTTATCTGGAGTAACCTGTGACATGAATACCCTGGGTTTGTAGAAAAAACAGAAGTGGGGCAAACGCTTTTGTGATCACATAAAGAAGATCTTGCCGTAACCATCAATCTAAGGGGGCACTTTCCTTAGAGCATCAGTGTAAGGCACACTTTTCCACTCACCACTAATATAAGGAGGGTCAACTGACCACAAATGTAAGGGGGCACTACAATGCCCATCAATGTAAAGGGGTAATACACTGATGTAATCAGGCTTTTCTCCACTGACCACTAATGTTAGGGTGCACTTCTCCTACTGCCCATCAATGCTAGAGGGCACTACATTGATCACCATTGTAAGGTTGACCTTTTTCCAGACCACCAAATTACAACACA